ATCACAACAACAACAACAGCTGAAATGGTCAGCCGAATATGAATCGACGACATAAAGACACGATTGCGAGATTAACAATGAACAAATGATAGGAATTTGTTAAAAACTGCGACAAGAAAATACCTCTCACAACACCAAAAAGATCACGTATGCAGAGAACACAAAGGCCTTAGTGGGATAACATGCAAAATCGTTTGCCACCGGTATTTATATACAAATCATCGGTATTGCAAAACCACTCCAAATTAATATGACCGCAATCCAGGATCACACGCCACTCTCTCCAAAAACAACAACCAGATTCACTGGGCAAACAGGCTTACAAGTTTCAGAAAATTTTCAACACTCTAATTACGCGTCAAGAAGACTTTTTCAATTCAAAAAACAGTCAAACCTAAAATAAAGTTACTCTGAAATGTACAAACAAAATGCCCACCTAGAAAGTTTACAGAACCCATCATACTCATAACGTCATCTCCCATGAAAGAATCATTCTTAGTCAATTGCTATCACATCAAAAATTCCACAATACACATTGTTCCATCGATAACCAACTAACAAAAATGTGCAGATTGTTGATGATTTGTAACGAAACCAATTATTATATGTAGGCATGAAAAGTTGTAACACCTGCACAAAGAAGATGAAAACACTGAGAGCAATGAGTCCATTTCGATGACTCTATTAAAAACCTCATTCAAACATCAACATCCGCGCATAAACTATATCAAAACGTATTTTAGAGCGTACTGTACTGTCACCCAAACGAACAAAATGAATATCTTCATAAAACCAAATAAACACAGAAATTGAAAGAGAAATGAATACATATCAAACTGAATGAATGCCTTTAAAGGATGTTCTTAAATAAAAATTGAACTTCATACTCAATCAAAGAGCATAGGTCATCACAATGATATCCCTTGCAATCGCTTTGCCATTCTCGTCTGATACCGCATCTTTCAGACGACTCACCAACGCAATCACATCACATTCTTTCGCAACCTTAATTCACATTTCATATCAATACAACAACAGTTCAACTCGAAATGTATTCGATTACTTGAATCGACATTCACCATTCGGCAATCTTATTCCTCCAGTCAACTCAAATAGTTACTGAATTGAAACGACAAACCAATAAATGAATAAATCCACAGATATCTAATGAAAGCATTATATGAACGCTCAAAACGAACCCTAACCACCGAATCGCTGCCCCACATCAACGTCACTATTGCTTGTAATAAAC